ACTCCGCCGATACTGGGCGCGCGGCGGCGACGGCAGCTCTCGGGTCCGACAACACAAACTTGTTCGCCGTCTCACTCCTCTCTCGCTCTATCCTCTCTCTCCCACACACACACACGCGCGTACACATACATACATACGCACACGGACGGCCCAGCTTGCCGCCACGGCCGGAGGGCGAGGAGGAGGTCTTCTACTATACGCTGTGAGGCCAGATTTTACGCCTGTCATAAAAGGATTTTAGTGAGAAGTCCGCAGTGAAAACTTCGGACGTGAACAAGGAATGTCTGAATCCCTGACCCCGGGCATTTTCCCTGAAGAGACGGACGTCCCAGCGATAGTGCTGCGAGAATTATTATGACTTCAGACTCTGAACTTCCGACTGACATACCGTCACGCGCTGCACCATTCCTGCAGCAAAGAGATGCCGCAGAGCGTGTGTGTCGTCTGGAATAAAAACATAACAATATAGTGTTGTGAATTCACAAACTTTCAGGATACCTCCGGCCCGTTTTCGAGAGTGCGTCCTATAGGAAGCCACATTAGCACCAACGAAGCTGCTAAAACGACAGGCCACAACGTCCTTCTGTGTGACTTCAGCTACAATATTTCCAAGACTTCTCAGAGATTTCAGGGGAAGGGAAAGAAAGGTTTGCTCATGTTTGAAGCCATTTAAAAGTCACAAAGCTGCCATAACGTCTACATTGATTCATTTGTAGGACTTCAGATACAATATTCAAAGGGTTCTCGGCAATTTCAAAAGACAACCTACTCCTTCCTCCCTGACATTCCACTTGGACTTTTTGTTATCCGCGTACAAATGCATGCGTGAAAAATAAACTGTACGTACACAGACTGAATACCAAAATGACTTTGATAGCGGATATCTATACATGAAAGCTGCCCTACACGGTGGAGGGGAAAAGAAAAACGTGTGGATCTGCAACTGAAATACATTAACTTTGTGACAAATAGAAAAAACACCCCATGTTCGCGTTATCAGCAAGCAGACAACTTAAGGAATATGGGGCGATGTTTCTAAAATTTATGCACTTTATGCATTCATAAAAGAGAAGAAATCTTTGGGTAGTTTTTCACGCTTGTGGAATTATCCCAAAAACCTTAAAGTGCATTCTCTGTGGATATGAGAATCCCAAAAGGTGAAGAACAGAGGACATAAGTGAGTCGCACGCTCCATAAGCAGGTGGAGAAGAGGATTACTTCTGTCTACGACATCAGTGTGCGAGCGCCCAGCACCGTGTGGAGTCTTCAAAACTCGAACAGGGCACTCGAAGTGAACTCTCAAACATCTGAGCCAGACAAAACAAGCGTTTCCTGCATTCGTCTTATGGATATCACACAACAATATTCTCGCCAATACAGCTAGTCGTGCGTCATTATTATTATATTGCTTAGGAATGTTCTGAGCTCGCAAGTGTTAGAAGAAAGTGACTCGTGGAGGAAACTTCCTGGACTTCTAAGAGCTACCGCGAGTTCTCGACAAGAATTTTACAGCAGGAACATTAATTGCCCACACTGAGGAAGTGGTGAGGTGAGCAGGTTTATAACTAGCTGGCTCAAACACGTTCTTACTTAACACGTGACCAATCAGCAAGCAAATCAACAACAAAAGCAACAGAAATAACAAAAAGTTACAACATCGCCGCAACCTCTGTAGATCTATAACTTTTCCCATTCAGCAGTCCCCCGGAGCCAGCGTCGTGACTCGTGACAAATAAGTCATCCTTTTTTTTAAAAAGCCCATTAAGAACCATGAACACAGCAACCCCGGACCATTAACGTTACTCTCATAAAAAGATTTAAACAAACTACTAAAATAAAACCCATAAATAAAAAATAAACAACCCTGAACCATTAAAGTTACTCTCATAAAGTGATTCTGGAAAACAATACCAAAAAAAGCAAAAAAATAAAAATAAAAATAAAAATAAAAACCAGAGGCCGTACAAGTTCTATCCTGGCCTCTGTGGTGGAGAATAATAAATAAGAGCGCTACAGCGCCATCTTCGCTCTATGGTAGGGAATATTAGAGCGGGGGTCCGGAACGACAATACCGCGCCTAGCCTCAGATCGGACGGCGACTGCCGCTGATGACTCAATTTCCGAAGAATTTGTCAGACTTTTAAGAAAATAATTTCGCGCAGTGCAGAGGTATGATTTCCGAATCGATGAATAATTTCTCTGTAGGGGAATAATTTCGCGTGAGGGTTGATTTCTGTATTGAGGCATACTTTCTGTGTAGAGGTTAATTTCTGTGCGGGAGAAAAAATTCAGTGTAGAGAAATAAGTTCGTGCTGTGCGTGTATAGTTCATAAGCAGAAAAAAATGTGAGCTTGTGTTAACAGGACAGAAAAGGCACTTAGAAGCAAAATAGTGTGAAGGTGTACATGTTTTGCACTTTTACCAACATGATAATATTCTTACTTTACGGTGGGCACACAGACTAGAGGGGTTTCGAAAATAGAGACAAATAAATATTTCGCGAGTCTATATATAGATCGAGAGAGAGAGAGAGAGAGAGAGAGAGAGAGAGAGAGAGAGAGAGAGAGAGAGGGAGAGAGAGAGAAAGGGAGAAAGACAGACAGAGAGATAGACGTCTCGCTGGCGCGGTGCAGAACGTATGACAAGTCCAGCTATTTCTGTCGCAGTTAAAATCTTGACCCAGTAACCGACACTGGTCGATAGTGACAGCTGTCCGCATAATGATGCTATTATTATTGTGAAGCGGCAAGTGCCCCACGGAGATAAATTGGATTACGCCCCCATTTCTATCTGAGCT